ATAAAAATGTGATTCTCCCAAGCTTCTGTGAATACAATTTGTTAACTGTGGCTTATTCAAAATCTATTATACTATTTAGAATTGAATGTAAGTTAAACTAAATGGTTTTGAAAATCAAAACTACAAGTTAAGAAGTTAGGGGTGCTGCCAGATGCTGTTTCACAATTTATTTTTATCCACCTGTGTTATTTTTATAACTAACTCAAGGCAGTGAACATACTTAATGCTCCTTCCTCCTCCTATTTAAAACCCTATTTTCCCCATCATAACCACCCTGTGAGGTGAAATTGGGCTGAGCCTGAGACACAGTGATGGCCCTAAGACACCCAGATGGTTTTCCTACCTAAGGTGGGACTAGAACTCACAGTCTCCACGTTTCTAGCCTGGTGCCTTAACTACTATACCTCTTTATATCTTTATATTTTGATGCTTGTCAACATCAAGGGATTTTTCAAACTAATGACATTAAAGGCACCAACCAAGGCTTTGATCCGGAAACCACTGCCTCACTAAGGTTTAAAAGGAAGAGTTTCAAGAAAACGTAATTTGTCAGCTAAGGAAATAGTTTTCCATGTCAGACTAGAGTGCATAACTTAGTACTTTGTGCTTCTACCTCTGTAGGCTGCTTAGTTACTTCTTTCTGCAGGAATAGAAAGGAAAGATGCAGGGGGTTTCCGGTTTGTCGGCTTCGCGAGCGGTAGGGATTCGCGAAGCTGCGCGATCCCTGCCGCGCTAGCCGTTTTGGGGCTCCGACCCGGACGGGTGCGGAGCAAGGCTGCCCTGCAGGGGTAGCTGAAGGTAAGGGGGATCCGGAGGAAGGGTTTGGGGGTGTTGCAGACCCCCTCCCTGGCCGGCAGAACCCCCTTTTACCAGGACGGTGCAGCGGCGGTCCGCAATGGCCGCCACAAAGAAGTTGACAGCCGGGCAAGTATGCGCAGGAGGAAGAAGAGAAAGTTATTGAAAGTGAAAGTTCTTCTTGGTCGACCCAGGGCTTTGAGATTTATCTAATTTAATTCCTGGAAAAGATGGTTTTTTGATGATTTTTTCCACAAGAGAAAAAAAAAGCGGCTATTTTGAGGTGCTGAAAGGAAAGTTTACTCTCCCTCCCGACGGAATTAAGCCGGAAGGGAGAGGATAAAGAAAATATATAAATTTGGATCTTGTTGGAGGAGATGCCTTGAAGACTTGAGGACAGAAATATAATCTTAATAAGGCTTTAAAATATAGATTTGGACTCTTTTTTTTTATTTGTTTGATACCACCCCTGGAAGAGGAAGGGGGAATTTTGGCTTGCTTGGATTTATTGAGGATTGTGGATTTTGGGATTGTTTTGCCTTTCTCTCGGAATATTTGGTTGGTGTAAGAAGAAAGAGGAATAAAGAAAAGAAAAGATTTATTTATAATGGCTTTCCTTTTTGAAGACCTGAGGGATGAATATGAGCAAACAAAAGCAGCCTGCAAAGATGGCATGGAAAAAGCTTTTCTATTTCTAGAAATGGCGCTGGTCAATTACCAACAGACAATGGAACAGATGGAAACGGAAGAAGAACAACAAGGAAGAGACGAAGACGCCATCTTCATTGAATCCCAAAACTTATCTAAGGAAGAAGGAAGGAAGAGAGCAAGGAAAATGAAGGATTTAAGATCTAAAAAAACATTTGAGAAAGAGAAAAATATGATGCAAAGTAAATATAATGATAACAAACAAGAGAAAAAGGGAACACAACAGAGAAGGGATCCCAGCAAGGCAGAGGTTAGAAGAAGAAGGGGGGGTAGGAAGATTTGGTGGGGGAAGAAAGAAAGGGGAAAGGCGGAGAAAAGCCTCAAAGCTTTAAAATTGGATGGGAGAAGAGGGATTTTTTTTAGAGACAAAGGATGAAATATAAATTTCTGTAAGAAAGATTCTGCTAAGGTACAGAAGATGGTATTGTAACATTTATATTTGAAATAGTAAATTAGAATGGTTTAAGATTTAATAAGAAATTAAAATGTTGAAGTTTTTAATAATGATTGATTTTTAAAATGTAATAAAATATCGAAGGAAAGGAAGATACAATGTATTTAAACATTTTTGGTGGATAGAATGTACCAAGCAGAACCAAATTGGGTATTTGTTATGTTGAATGTTAATTTTACTAACTTAGGGGGAGGATAGAAAGGCATCATACTCTGATTAGTGATTTCAGGAGAAATTCTTTTTATTATAAGAAGAGATAGAGGGATAATGAATGGGCAAAAGATACAAATTTAATGATTTAATTAAGATGGATTAAATAAGATAGAATTGTGAAGAGTGATATGCGCTATTATTTTAGCCCATGCAAAGAGAGGTAACTGGGGCCAAGGTACTTTACTAAAAGATTTTTTTATGTTTGTTTGTGTTTGTTTGTGTTTTATGAGAATATTGGGGAAATTATTGTAGAAAGACAGGGAAAGATTTAATATGTAATGATTTGTTTGTTGTTGAAACTTTTAATAAAACTTGTTTTAAAAAAAAAAAAAGAAAGGAAAGATGCAAATGCTAGCCAACCATATATAGCTCCTAGATAATCCATGCACCATTGGGTCTTTGTTGCAGATATATTTCCTTACCTAATCAGAGAAACAGAATGCCATGGGCAGGCAAAAAAAAATCAACGGGAATGGGATTGACTACTGACTTCCTGTTGGCTTCCTCCATTGAGTTGTTGGACATCTTCCCTTTCCTTCCCAGCAGGCAGATACATGGTGGCTGCTGCATGGGGGAGGAGGGAGCGAGGGATTACACGTATGGCTGGAATCTGTCAGGGAACATTGAAAATGAGAATTATGTGCCCTCAGTGGCACAGCAGCAGTGCTGAAGCAGCAGGAGCCTGGTACCACTGAAGCAGCTGCCATTTTCCCAAATTTTATTTTGTCATTAGTAAAAAGGCCCAGCATTCTGTTAGTTACCACGTTTGAGGTTCCTGGGTTGAAAACATTTTGTCCTGCAATACACAGTTTTGCCCAGTTAAAGGTTACAGATACAGGTGTATAGATATCTAACTCATTGTGATTTGATGTCCATGGCATGCGTACACACACACACAGAGACACACACTTTTTACTTTTTTAAAAAAATGACCTTGCTGTCCCTGAACTGAGCGTTTATTGGCTCTTTCTCTCCCTCCCTCCCTCTCATACACACTGGTAATTCACTTTTGTCCTTATGATATATTGTTTTTAAAGCCATGTATAAGGATACAGGATGTAAGATCTCAGGATGTTTACTAACTGGAGTGGTATATAAGCACTTCTTAAGAAATAAATGGATAAATATATATATATATGTCAAGAGCCTTTCTTCAAATAAGCAGCACAGTTCAAAAGAAATTACAAAAGCAGTCCTTAGACACTTGACTAATTCATAAGGGACAATTTGTAGCCTCTTTTGGGGCTTATTTACAAATTTCTACTGAAATACAATTCGGAAACTGAACAAGTTAAGGACTTTATGATCCAATGGATGCATAATTTAAACAGGACAATTAATATGCAATAATGGGACTGTTAATGAAAGATAAATATTACAATTATTTTTGTTAATATTACACTTTGAGAAAACAGGTATAAGATATTTTATTGCTAGTGTATTACTCCAGTGCAAATTGTCAAAATATGTAATTCATATTCAAAAACCTGCTGGAAATACATTACAACAGTTCAAAGTTTACACAGCACTGAAAAAAGTGACTTATGACCATTTTTCACAACTGTGACTGTTTCAACATACCCATGGTCACATGATTTACATTTGGCCGCTTCATATTTATGACTGTTGCAGTGTCCCAGGGTCATGTGATCATCTTTTGCAATCTTTGGACAAGCAAGTTAATCAATGGATTCACTTAACAACCGTGTTACTAATTTAACAACTGCAGTAATTCACTTAACAAATGTCAGCAAGAAAAGTCATAAAATGGAGCAAAACTCAGTTAACAAATTTCTCACTTAGCAACCTAAATTCTGGGCTCAATTGCGATCATAAGTCAAGGACTACTTGTAATCAGGCTGCAAATGTACTTTCCTGTTTGGTAGCAATATTGCAAAAGCTTAGCAATTCTGGAAATGGTTTCTTACAGAATGAAACAAATCTTAAAAGCTGAATCTTCTTTCCTGCCAGCAAGTTTTTCTGCTAAACTTCATATCCTTTCAAAGTATACGAAACTGATTTATGATAACAGTTCTAAGAATGCTTTAAGAAAACTTAACTGGGTATTAAATACAAATCCTTCTTTATAAGAATGAGAAGATCAAATTATGGGAGTATGCATTCAGTGTCAAAAATAACTTCATATTGCAAAACAAGGTGGAATTTAAAAAGAGAAGAAATACTTTATTTGGAAAAGGAATATAAAAGGATATAGAGCAAAGGCTGATATACAAGAACATCAATGAAAAAAATGCATTAAAAATATAAATATCACTGTGACTTTTTTTTAAATAGGGCTGGAAATAATGGATGCATTTACTTTACCAGATAAATCTAATGAAATATCTATTTTCCCTGTTTCTCTTTCCCCATACTCAAGTCATTTAGAAAAATGGTACATTGGGCTTCTATTGTATTTTTAATGACAAAGAACTATCAGAATACAAATAGACCCTTCCATGAAATAGCACCAATGTCATATTAAGCACATGCCTTTGCTATATTTTCTTTTATTACAAAAAGCAAAGTATGACCGCAAAAGAGAAAGCTCAACCCTGGAGAAATGCAGTGGTTCTAATGAGTAAAAGTGAGGCTTGAGAGGAGCTAAGGACTATCAATATTTTTCTGCTGGTTACAAGACTGCTAGAAATATTAAGAATGAGCTAACTCTGGTGTTATATAAATAGATTCCCATGTTCCATCTCTTCTTTGCATTTCCTCTGCATAAAACCTCAAGTTTCCCAACTCTCTGGAGCAAATCTGTGGGACATGCTGGGAAGGGACGGAGATTTGTTTTCCTATGTTGGGTAATCATCTTGCTTTCCCATAGGTCCCAAATTTCATCAATGCATCCCTGCAACCTCATGAGCGCATCATGGCTCAGGAGATTGACAGCTACTTCCGCCATGAGCTTATCTACAAACGGAATGAGCGGATGGGCAAGCGAGTAAAAGATTTACTGGAAGAATATCCAGATAAAAGCTTCTTCTTTGCATTTGGAGCTGGTAGGTACATTTTAGAAGTTTTTAAAAAGATAACATGGATGAATTGATCCTTTGTGCTAGTAATGTGGAAACATCCAGTTCACAAGAGAACACATTGAATCATTGCACCTTCAACGCCCAAAATGGCAATTCTTCATAGCCATTGAAAGATGTGTTGTACTTTCATTAAATGTCTTCAATATCTCATTATAAAATTCGCTATCAATGAATTTTTCTTTTCTTTTATGTGGTTGTATTGATTTTAATATTTATTTTTCGTGTTTTTATTGCTTAAGCTGTCAAGAGTGGCTTTATGAGATGGGTAGCCATATCAATCCAATAAATACATAAACAAATTTAAATGCAGTTGCAAAAACAAACAGGCATGGTTAAATTCAAAGTGATAGCATAGGTTCAATATTTATATTCTGTAAACTCTGTCTTTTCTCAAGGTGAAAATTGTCTCTTAAGGAAGTAAGGATTGAGGCTCCAACCTAAATGTACAGAATTGTAATTGGGCTTATTATAACACTAGTTCAATACCCGTGCTTCGCTACGAAACTATGTGGTCAGGCTTAGTTTTTGGGTAGGAAAATAAGGGGGGAGGAATCTGCCTTGGCCTACCAGCATCCATCAGTATTGATCTGGCTAGCATCCTGTCAGTGTATGAGAGAGTTGAGGGGTGTTTGGAAACTGAAACAGTATTTGCTATGTGAGCAAGAAGGAGACAGCAAGGAGCCTGGGTGTGGCTTAGCTCAACTGTTCTGTACTAAAGCTGCTTGCTGCTCTGAAACTAAAACTGAAACTCCTCCCCTCTGCTTGTGTTTTGCATTTGAAACAGATTTCTTTTCAGGTGGGGAGGGGGAATAGAACTCCTTAGCATCAGAGCGTGTTAATAATAATATAAGAAATACTAATGCTCTGATGGTCATTTCGAAAAATCCTTTCTTAGTGAGCACCTAGAAGCCAAGAGGAACATATATGCCAAATTTCAAGTTGGTAGGCTTTATGCTTCTGGAGATTTTGTGATGATGCGTGAGTGGTATTTCCCTTTTATATATACAGACAGAATCGGCTTAAACTGGTGTTCTCCTAATAAAATAACCTCACCTGCTGGGCTGTACCTACCTCCCAAGTGTGAATCTGGTCTAAGAACATTTTGGAAGATGTAAGCCAGGGGTGTCAAACTCACGTCATCACAGAGGCATCACGTGATGTGTTGGGACATTTTTTCCCCTTAGCTAAACCAGGCCTGAGTGTGGCCAGCTCGTGACGCATCCAGCCTGCAGGCCTGTAGTTTGACAGCCCTGATGTAAGCCAAGTCACTAGATATATATTTGACAACTTAGATATTAAAAAATCAATAGTGCTTCTTTTTTTTTAAAGCAGGGGTCCTCAACCCCAGTTCGTCAAACCGGCACTGGTCTGCAGCCTGTTGGGAACTGAGCTGCATAAGTGTGCATTCATGGGGGATCTAGGTAGCATGAGAAATCACAGCCCCTCCGGTCCATGGACATTTTTTTTACACAGAACTGGTCCCTGGTGCCCAAAAGATTGGGGGCCACTGCATTAAGGCATGTATTTATGCCCCAAAATGCCTGTCATTTTTAAATAGGATTTCATTGTTTAAATTGAATAGTGCATAATGTCAGACTGTACTACCTGGAGGTGCTACTGGAATGCTTCACACAAGGGGGAGAGAGCAATTGTATTTCAGTGCTTATTTTGTGAGATAATCAAATGATCTCAGATATTATCTGTTCTGGCATGCATAAATATTACACTGGCAGAGAGACAGTATGTACTCAATCATCTGCATAATGTGCTTTTCCCTCAAGGAAAAACTGATCAGGCGCACATTATCCAGTCAGGTTTTGTATACTCCTGGGGGTTGGCATTGTGTAAATTAACATCTGTCACTTCTCCCTGAATTTCTGCTGGCATGTAGTGTGGAGTGTTAATATTGGCTAATCCTTTTGATCATTGGTGTTAGTGAAAGAATTCTAAATGTCAGCCATTTTTAAACTTCGAGCACTCCTGGCGGCAAACCTATAATTAAATATTTATTTAAATATATTTTTGAAGCCATGTACTGATTTAAATGTGCAGGTCTTGTAGATGAATGGCAATAATTTTCCAATAAAGATATTCTTATTAGGCCTTAGAATGTTTTCAAATATTCATGTTTGAGGCGGACTTCATCTCCCCTCCCACCAAAGTTTCTGTGTTGCCATTTCAGTGATTCCAAAGAGATTTACCTCTTGAAAAGTAGCACTTTTTAAATGAAAGTACTTTATTAGGAATCATAAAAGCATGTCATTTACTCCGTGTGGTTATTTGTTAACCGTGATATATTTTAATGATATATTTCACTATTTAATACTATTGGTTTACTAAACAATATATTTATTAATATATTTTCTAACCAAGTTGAAGCCATAGCTGAAAATGTGAACTTACTTTCCTTAAAATATAATGCAACAAGGGGCTGTTTGCTTGTTTGGTTTTTCAACTATGGTGAAGATAGTACAAATATGCAGTGGTTTAATGAAATGCAAAAAGTTTTATAAATGTTTGCAAACAATTTAAATAGAATGTATCTTAAGGCTACCTTTGGCTTCTGGAGCAGTGATGGGATAGCCAACCAGTGTTGTTGTATCAGTAAAATGAACAGCATAGAAATTTAATAAATAAATTTAATAAATAGATCTAGGTTAAAATACAGCTAGTCCTTGACTTACAACATTTAGCAACTGTTCAAAGTTATAACTTGACTGAAAAAAGTGACTTATGTAAACTTTTTGTAGGTTTTTCATACTTACAACCATGGCAGCATCCCCATGGTCACGTGATCAAAATTTGAATGCTGGCAATTGGTTCATATTTATGACGGTTGCAATGTCCTGGGGTCACGTGATCACTTTTTGCAACCTTCTGACAAGCAAAGTCAATGGGGAAGGCAGATTGACCTAACAACCAAATTTACAACTGCACTTAACCATTGTGGCAAGAAAGGTTGTAAAATGGGGCACAACTCACTTAACCACTGTGTCCTTTAGCAACAGAAATCTTGGACTCTATTGTGGCTGTAAGTCAAAATCTACCTGTAATGGCTTACAGTATACAGCTTGTGAAGACAGTCCCTCTGTAAAGATAGATAGAGACAGAAGGACAGATACACAATACACCACACACCATGTTAGGCTATACTAGATCTCCCTGTACCTGTATTTCCCTGAGTTGCTTTAATTGATTTCTCTGCCCCAGATAAGGTCACAATTGGCAAAAGTCCTCAGACTTCCATCTGCTGTTCAAGCAGGAGCTGTAAGTCCAGAAGGGTGACCAAATCTCAAATCTGCTATTTCTGGAAAATACTTGTCCAGATTTTAATAGAACATTCTGATCAACAATCCTAATTCCTGGGTTCAACTTCAGTCTCTTTTGCCCCATCAAAACCCTTAAGAACTTTGTGCACTAGGACAGCAGCCCCCAATCTTTTGAGCATCAGGGACTGGTTCTGTGGAGAAAGGTTTTTCCATGGACCAGAGAGACCTTGGTTTTGTGTGCTGCCTGCGTTCCATCGATGAGGCCTCACTTGTTTGCATGGTCCGGTTGCTGGCATGCCATGGGCCGGTGCCAGACCATGGACTGTGGGCTGGCAGCATCTCTCCTACAGCCCAGGCTAGTGATATAAAGTGGCTTTATTTGGATATTGAAGGACAAGGGAGTGATAGCCAACCTCTGTGGCGTCCCATATATCTGAGGCCAGTGGGCAGATCTCTCGTCCCATTCCTACACTGAGTGAAAATACCCAGTGAGGAAGAAGAGGAGCCTCTGCAAAACAGTATCCTTGGTCTTCAATCCCCATAAAGTTGGGGTCCAGTGGTCCAGTAAGATACCACAGGTGATGATACCAAAGGTCATGAAAATGTCAGAAGGGGCACACTACCTTCATCTAAGTTCCAAACAGGCCATTTAAGAAAGCAATGTTACCTTTGTCCCATTCCCAGGTTGGAACCCTGACTGAAAAGGCTCCAAATAATTTGCTTCTTTTAGGGAGCCACGATGTTGGCCTAACACCTTTACCTTAATCTCTACGCACTGTGAAAATGGGTCACATGCTGACACCTTCCCAAGTGAAGCTTATCCATATTGTGGGGATCTGGCTTATTCAAGAGTGATGGGTGCTTCCTATTTAAACCTTGAAACTGGAAGTAAACATCAGAGAAAGGATCTTACTACTAAACCACAATCTGTGCTATAGGTGAAAACACTCTGGGATGTAAAGTTCTGTTCCTCTTTCACAGGACGCAAAACATTTAAAAGAATATAAATCTGGGTCTGTTGTCAAGCTTGAAAGAATAAATCCACCTTGGGTAGGGGGCAAAAAAAGAATCCTTCATTAGAACAGTGGGTACCTCTCTTTATTTAAGACTAGATGAAAAGACTATAGCTTATTTCCCCACTTGGCTAGAATTGATACTTACAAGGAGATCTCAGTTTCTCCCGTTCTTGAGTTTGAACACAGAACAATGACTGCCAAAGTAAATTGACCTCCCGAATGCCTGTGTTCATGTAGTGTAGGATAGGGATAATGGAGAGCTGAGTGCAAAAAGAGGAGGGGCTTCTGCTGGCACAAGGATGGGTGTGTGTGTGTGCTTTCTCTTTGGAGTCACTCAAGTGTGTCAGGCCAAAAGAGGAAACAGATGAAAAGGGGTTCTGCTCCCTATCATGCTTCTGTGGACAGCCTCCCGCAGGAGTGAAACTGCTTGATCTTACGCTTCTGGGGTGAATTCTAACCGTGTGCATTCGTAGCTGCTTTAAAAGAAATATTGAAAGTGGTAGGCGAATCTCTTAAATTAAAGCAGTTCTCTTAATTGCTGGAAAGTCTAGGATGTGCCTGTGTTTGGACAACAGCCTCCAAGTACATTTCTGCCAAGGATTTCTAGTACAAAAGCAAGCAATTTGCAATGCAAAGATAAGATCCTTGCTGCCAATTTAATTTCAGGACAGGGAGGAGACAGATTATCACAGGTGAGCTTAATGCACTCAAAGAGTACGGTTTGCTGAACACTGGTATGCTGTTGAAATAATGGAAAGTTCATTCTGTACACTTTTGGACATGCCTAAGTTAATAAGTCAAACCTTCATTTGTGTGTGTGTGTGTGTGTGTGTGTGTGTGTGTGTGTGTATCTGCTCGTTTCCCGTTCCACACATGTTTTGACAACTGTTCTTCTTTTTAGCCTTGATTTCTGGTTAATGATTGTTCAGTAGTGCTAGAAAAAAATTGATAATGATCGAGAATATTGATGATAATTTTCAATATTAAAGCAACAATATACAGTAAAAGCTCAGAACTGAATATCATGCTCACAATAGAGTCTAATTAACACTAAATGATGTGCAATAAATTATGCACCCTAAAATTACATTAGCCTCCTTTGCAGCATATTACATGGTCATTCTTAGTCAGCTACAATTCCAACGATTTTTTCACATTATTTTTTTTAACTGATAAAGATGATTTTGAGTTGTATTTGTCGCTTATGGTATTAGTTCTCCCAGTTTGTGTCTTCTGCAGATTTGTAAATTCTTTCATCCACTTGTCATCCAAGCCATTAATAAAAATGCTAAAAAGCATAGAGTCTAGGGCTAAACACGGTGCTACTCCACTTGCTATCTCCCTGAGGATAAAGAATTTTCCTTAATCTGATTTTTCAATTCAGCAATATATCCACATAAATGCCATGCCATGCAGCCCATGGGAAAGTAGTTTGACATTTCAGCATGACTTGTTGAAATGACAAAACATACGTATATCTATAGCAGCTTCATAAGATGCTGCCAGAAGCTACCTAATTAAAAAAAATGAGTGGTTAGTCTAATAAGACTTGTTCCTGGTAAATCCATGTGGAGTTGTGCTTATCACCTCATTGTTCTCAAGCTTCTCAAGGAATGAGTCACTCTGTGACTTGCTCTAGAATTTTTTTCCAGGTATTGATGTCAGATTGACCAAATTCATGGATTCTCCTTTTCTTTTTTGAAAACAGGATTTTCGGATACATAAAAGAAATGCATATCAGGTTCAGTTAGACAGTCAAGAAGTTGCTTCACATAGAGTGTGATTCAAGTGACTCAGGAAGTGTTCATTGGTTCAAAGTAAGAAGATATTCCCTGAGGGTGTATCTTAAAATCCTTCTCAAGCTTCAGTTGTGCTCTTTTAAGATGCTCTTTCCAATTACTTTCTTTGAACTGAAATCTTGTTGAAGAAGACAAAGCCAATTACAGGTAGTTCTCCTCTTACAACAGTTCGTTTAGCAAACATTCAACGTTACAACGGCAGTGAAAAAAGTAACTTACGACTGTTTTTTCACACTTATGACCATTGTAGCATCCCCATGGTCACGTGATTTACCTTCAGATGCTGGACAGCTGACTCACCTTTATGATGACCACAGTGTCCCAGGGTCATGTGATCCTATTTTCTGACCATCTGACAAGCAAAGTCAATGGGGAAACCAGATTCACTTAACAACCAGATTACTAATTTAATAACTGCAGTGATTCACTTAACAAGTGGAGAGAAAAGTCTTAAAATGGAGCAAAACTCACTTAACAAATTCCTCACTTAACAACATAAATGTTGGGCTCAGCTGTGGTCATACGTTGAGGACTATTTGTAGGAATTAAGTAATGGTTGTGAGTGCAGTCTGTTAATCAGACTGATAATCTAATAGAGAAGTTCTCCACTCTTTGTCATGTAGAGTGAGATTACCTTAGCACTTCCCTCAGCTGGGTATAAAACAAGGTCTTGTATTTTGAGTAACTTGAGGTAGACAGTCTGTAGAAAGACTAAGCAAAGCCTCTGATTAACATGCTGGAATCTCCAAGAGACAACCAGGAAATTGAAATAGAGGATCCTTTGCTTTAGTAAAACTTTTATTTCTGCAGAAATAGGTGAATTTGGGCTGTTTCAACACCTCTCACGTTCAAGCTTTCCGCATTTTGGCCAAATGCTTTTTTGCTAGTTCTTCTGCAACCTCTTTTATTCTGGCACTCCAAAATCGAGATAACTCAGATTGCAGTCCCAAAAACCAACATTCTCCCATTGATATTTTGAAAGCCAGTCGTTCATCTGCAGTATTCTTTCCCTTTCCCAGTCCTCTTCCATATGGGGTAACCATCTGATCTTCCTTTAATTCTAGTTTTATTTCAAATTCTTACAAATCCATGATGATGTGGTTGTAGTTGCTCCCTGCATATGAATTACCAGCAAAGAGGAATGGACTTCATACGTCTTAGAAATTCTGTCACATGCCTGATCCATGACATGGTGGACAGCTTATTTCATATACTAATAGTCAGAATATGTTTGTTTACAATAGTGGTTAGTATCTAACTACTTTCTCTTTGTCTTCTTGCAGGCTACAACTACATCCTCTCTGCCTTTCAAGGTTATGCTATTGTAGTGTTTGTTACACAAGATCTTTTTCTTCCTTGAAGGTTCAAAGCTAGTTGCTTCTGTAAGAGCTTCAAAGCTGTTTTTGGATTGAAGAATATCTTCTGTGTCTCTTGCTTCTGGTTGTCATTCTTATCTGCTGTACTTGTTCCTTTGTTTACATTTCTTCCTTACGGACAGTTACTTCTTTTGTTGGTTGCCTTTGTATCATCTTCTTTGTTCCCCAAAAAATCTTTATTCTTTCTTACGAATGGTAATATGGTCACGGCCACTCCATTTCTTACCTTGAGCATTAGACTTCTTTTTAAAAATCACATCAGCATAATAACACCTGAATATTAATTAGGCAAATAGTATTTTAGGAAGCTAATAGGTTGCTTGCAGATAGGCATGGAGCTTCTCAGGAGCTTGATAATCTTCTATTCTGCATTAATGCTTTAATAACTTTGTTTTTAAAATTATTTTTATTATTATGTTTTTAAGAGAAGATTGTTTATATTGGTGATTTATAAGTATCCTACTTTTAGATTTCATTTTCTACTAAGGATACTGATAAAATTGAGCAAGTCCAGAGACAGCCAACAAAAAAGGAGACAAAACATATCAGGAAAGATTGAAGGACCTAAATATATACAGTCTGGAGGACAGAAGGGAAAGGGAAGACATGGCTGAAACATATATTAAGGGTGTGAATAGGATTCTAGAAGGCAATATTTTCAGTATGAAGCAAAGATCAAGAACACGGGGGCATAAACTCAAACTGACAAGGGGTAAATTCAAAAGTAATGTTAGAAAGGATTACATCACAGAAAGTGTGGTGGAAGCCTGGAACCAACTTCCAGTGGAGTTAGGGAATCAGTCCTCAGTACCTGAGTTTAAACATGCTTGGGATGAACATATGTCTATCATCTGACAAAAATTTAAAAAATAAAAATAATAAATAAGAAAACAACAACAACAACAAAAAACCAAAATGAAGACTCAATGGACAGTAGGTCTTTTTCTGCTGTCAGTTTTCTATATTTCTATGTTTCATTATAACTAAAGTTAAATCCAGCATGATTGGATCAATTCCTACATCTCTAGCAGCTTTTCCTAACCTCAGTCTCCAGCTAGGGGATGGTTGGTTTACAACAGAGACTTTCTAGGGTCAGTTAAAGCAGGTGTTCATGTAAACTTTGCATTGTTGTCTAATCTGTACTTTAAAATGTTGTTTATGTGCTTTGATTAATGTTACTTGGGGCTTTTCTCTTTTATTACCTAAAGGTCATTTCATGGGCAACAATACAGTCATAGATATTTTGAGGAGAAAAGGATATGAAGTAGACCATACATCTGCTGGGCAAGCAATCAGGTAACAACTGCTTTAACAATCATCTTCAGGAAACAAAACATAATAGAAATGCATTTTGGAGTTGAAACTACTGCCATTTTATTCAGTGTAAAACCGTGTGAACCTGGACACTTGCAGAATGAAAAGCCTGCCAGTTTCCCACATCCTCCTCTGCTTCTCACTCATGCCTCAAGTTCTCTGATGGAAAAAAAAAAACAGACCATTGTGTCAATAGTTCTACCACGTAGAAGCTTAATATTTGTAAGTTGAGTGAAAATATAATCATGTCTTCATAGCCATCATGCACTGTAGTCTATACTGTAGTTTCACAAAATAGTGTTTCCAATTTACTCTAAAACTGATTGTAGGTGATGATTTTCTTCCAGATGACACAAAATTACTCTTCTCTAAGGGATATCTTATCTTCTGTCTATCCATGGTAAATGGTACTGGATGTCACTTTTGTGAGTTGCTCTCTGCTCCAGCAACGTAGATCCCTCTCTAAACTTCACTTCCTCGCTTGACAAATGAAATGCCAAGTTATGACTTCCATATGTGAATAAATTTCCACAAATATAGCAGACTTGTCAGGTCCTATACATCTTTTGGCATTCAGGCAGATAGCAACACCAGAAAGTTTCATATCAACCAAAACATGATCTTTTCAGAGGATGAAAGCTGACTTATACATTCCAGAACAATTCCTCCAATGTAGAGTGCCAGTCATTTTGGTAGCTCTTTAAAAGAAGCAGGAACTGGGAAATAGCAGATATGAAAATCCATTCAATTCTGTCCTAATGCAAAGTGAAAGGTTAATTATTATTTTATATCTTGTTTTAATACAATTAAAATATACCTCAATAAATAGACTTTTTGTATCACAAGTAATTATCAAAATGGCTTGGGGGGGGGGGGGAAGTTTTCGAAGAAATACAAATAATTTCAGTGGACACAGGTCATTCTAATTGCAACAGCAGAAGAATAGTACTATGTCATTCTCTATTACTACACCCGGCCATGATAATTGTTTAAAATAAACACAAGAATCCTTTAAAGTTGGCTTAAATTTACATTTTTGTTTTACCGATTATAAGATACTCGGTATGCTGGGGGTTTCCTGAACTATCCAAAACGTGATGAGTTCAAAGAATGTTAGACTGCGATAAGACTTTTTCCTCTCCAAAACCAGTGGGAATTTTATTCCATATACATGGAAGGATGGAGGAAAGCAGGAGGAGGAAGACTCTGCTTAGGTTATAATAATGAACTACCAAGTAAAAGTATGTTGTGATCGGCATATAATGAAGGCGGTTAAATATTTGCCCATGTTTCGCCAGAGTGGAAGAAAATATTTCATTTTCTTTGACCACATTTCCCTTCAGTATTAAATCATGTAGAAGTGGCATTTATCCTTTTGCTTAAACATTCTTTATGGATGAGTCACTGAATGTTGACTCATCAGAGAGAATGAGAAGTGTCTCTGTACAAACCTTTAGTGAATTCTAAATGCTTCTTTCTCTCTCTAGTTGCTTTTGGGAAAAGCAACATTGAGACTCATCCTGTTCTCATCTGGGCTCTCCCGAGAAACTGCATTTCATCTCCTATTTGCCTGGCTTTAAACAGTTTACCTGAAGTTTATTTTACATTCCCATTCCTGAGTTAAGGTTCACTGAGCGCATTTCATTGAGCATTAAAGGCATGAAGGATGTTTGTTTTAGTTTCCGCCTTTCTGGCGAATTCAGCTCGCTGGGGGAAGAAAAAGGGAATCGCATAATATCCACTGCTTTGCAAATGCTACATTTTTCTTCCTGTTGTCTTATCATGCAATGGATAGTGTGCGCATATGCTATTTTGTGCATTTGGAGAGTCTGAAGGTAATCTCTCCAACCACATGATATAGATTATTATCCTTTCAATTGTCTTTAATATCAAAGAGGAAATTTTCCTTTACTCATTCTTTTAGTACATTCTGTGGGCAATACAATACCAGTAGTGGCTTCGTATTGGGGTGCTATTTCTGTTACATTTGTGGCGATTTGCAATGTCCTGTGGACACATGACCATGGGTTATGATGGCTTTGCCAAAAATTGGCAATTGCTTCTAGGTTTCGGCAAAACCATTCCATAGCAAACAACCAGTTTGCTTAACAACCATATTTACACTTACAACCTCTGTGTTTGCTTAATGACTGCTGCAAAAAATATAAAATCAGGTCAGTCATGTACCCATCCCATTTTATTACAACTTGTGGCCATAATGATTGTTAACTACCTGTACTACTAAAACTCTAATAATCTTTAACTAGTGAAATGATGCTTCATATGACAAAACTTTTTCAACCAAGACCTTAAATGGGGTAACTTACAGAATGCCAGGACGATCATTACTGAGGTAATGAGATCTGTGGAAGTGTGGCTGCTTCAGTGTTGCCAAGCTGTCAAATTCTGACTGTGGCAATCATGTCATCCTCATTTCCAATGCTCCCTGACAGCTTCCTGGCCATTTGCACAATCTCTTGTTCCTTCCCCTATCCAGTAGCAGCCACTTGTACCTCCCCTATGGGAAGCAAAGGGGGGAAGGAAAAAATGGAGGAAGGGAAGGAAGAAGGAGGGAGGGAGGGAGGGAGGGAGGGAGGGAGGAAGGAAGGAAGGAAGGAAGGAAGGAAGGAAGGAAGGAAGGAAGG